TCAAATTTGCCAAAAAGAAGAGAAAAAAAAACATGCACTCAAAAGGACTGGCCATGGCCTGCATGGAAGGATCTTCATAAACCTTAGCATTCAATCCAATAAGGCAGTGCTCTGCAGCCCCCTAAGGCCTGAGGTAGCCCAGTGTAGCACCATAAAATCAGAAAATATTAATAAAATAACCAAATTTGCCAGTAATTGTCATCATTGTTCCACACAAATGTCTACACAAGGTGTATGGACTTCAGCCAAAGTGGTTTACTCATCCCAACGGTGACTATCCCAATGGTGACTATCCCAATGGTGAAGCTATGCAAACAATTGCAAGAGAAGGAAGTGACAACAGCCAAAGAGAGACCGAGGGAATTGGTCATGGTCAGGAAAGAAGTAGCAAGGCAAAGGGGACTTGAGGATGGAGTCGACCAGACCCGAGGACTATTAATGGGAATTGTTAGTTTTCTGCCCCATGAGGCCTGGAGAGAAAGGTGGGTGGTTGCTCACTAGTGACTAGAGGGACATTAGTCAACGGCTCCACGACAGCAAAGACAAAATGGCATTCTGTTTGACGTTCAGCCTGGGTATGTATGGCAGCTATCTCCCAGAGGGCAAAGGTTTGAATGGGTAAGACGCCATGAACTGCAATCAACTGCTTCTACCAACACTTGCAACTCAACACCCTGGGACTTTTAGGGTGTCATGCAATCAAGTAAAAATGTATTTGTTTAAAATTATTCATTTATTCAATTACAAAATAAAACCATATGTAGCACTGCCCCCTTAGGAGACACTAAAGTTTTGGTTCCCCCTATAGTCCTTCACAGCCAGGCAACACGCATTTTCACCGTAATGTGCATCCAGGATACAGTAACCAGTCCTTGAGCTTTGTTTTGTGATTTTATTAGGGGATTTGAACTGAGATAGGGTTAGGGGTGTACAGGATGTCCAATGGAACTGCGAAACCAAGGACAAACTGCTTAGCAACTCTGTACAAGTCTTTACAGCAAAAAGTGAGCTAGCCAGCATCTCTTATAGTATGGCCCCAGACCCCAGATGAATCCTCTCCTCATCCAGCTATACTGGGTGTTTCCTGGGCAGGGGATCCAGTGCTTGCCACTGCAGTGTGAACAGTTCTAGGTAAAAAGCTAAGAGAGTGCCTCTTTCCCCTTAGTGGCCCAGGGGGTGCAGGTTTACTCACTCAGTCCTTCTGTGCTGCTGATGGGTTGGTGGTTCCTACCAGGCCTTCTAGCAGGGCCACTCCTTCCCTACTGCACAGGTGGTCTTTTTCTCTGGGGGTCGGTGAAGCCCTGAGCTTTCTTCCTTCCAAGCTTCTTGCCTGGAGGAGAGCCCCTTTCCCATCTGGGCCCCTTCCCAGGCTCCTGCTCTCCACCTTCACTTACTGAGGATTGGCCAGGATCCTCTACGAGTACAGACCAGCCACTCCTCGCCTCCACCCACTGCTTCTAGATCTTTCTCCAAATTTCTAGAGCAGTGGGAAATCCCAGAGAGCTGGTCTGCAGAGCTTCTCAGCTCTGATCTCATTTTGACCCAACTGGCTATCACACCCAGGATGCTACTCAGCCTCTAGCTAACAATTGACGCTAGAGCTCCCCCTAGCTACCTAGGAGGGTGCTACACATATATTAGAACAATATTATATACAACCCTGTATTGTATGTTTTTAAATGCAATACAACATACAGCATTTTATTTGGAGGTTCCATAGTTCGTTGCACTCAGATTGTAAGGCTGTATATAAAATGGTAATTAATATCCTTGTATTATATTTTTTATAGCTTTGCCCCGTATTTCTGAAGAAGCAAATTTGTTCTGTGATGATGCGTCATAAAAACTGCCACCCTTCTTCTATGATGTAACCAGCAGCATGTTCCATTTTTTTTCTTAACTCAGAGTATAATATATAGTTGTATAAGGAAGTGACTAAGAGCAGTGTATATGGACATACACCTCACCATAAGACTGAATGTCCATGTTGTAATATAACATACTGTTGGGAACATCAACTGACGACGTCTGTTGATGATGGAACGCATAGGGTGGAGCCACACTGTGTGACATCATCGCGCTGTGGAGGGACAGCGGCCATCTTGTAAGTTAGAAACTTAAAAGTGCCATTTGATATGCTGTTTTCCTTTGCTTGCTATGTAAGTGCAATTCAATAAATCAGTTTTTAACTTTGAATTTCTTTTCATGTGGTGCTTTGGTGGCCTGAAGGGGAGTTTGCCATTTGAAGCTCTTTTTGGAGGAATATCCTGGATGACCCTGTGAGTGTTACCTATGCAAGAACCGGCACCTGCTGGATTTATGATACTGCTTATGTTGACCGACCTGTGTGGAGGTCAACACTTTTGGTAAGAGGCCAATCTATTTGGGTGTATGGTGGTGGTCCCTTCTTGGATTGGAACCCCTTTCCTTTGCACGGCTCTTCATTTCTTTATATGGGAAACTTACATGGAGTTTGTTGTCATCTACATTATTGCGTATGGGACTGTTCTAACTAGAGCTGCATTTTTCCACTATATTTTTCTGTGTGCCTATATTTGCAAGCTGCTCTATTTGTATAGTAATTCTAAGCGCAGTGTCTGTGTTATACATTATTATATTAAATAAATGAATAATTTTACCAAATATTACTACATGTATATGTGTGATATGTTAAAATTCCCAGGGTATTGAGTCATACTAATATGTTGCATTTGATGTGGTATCTATAACAAATTAATGACCCCAGTATTTGGGTATACCAACTGGCATACCCAAATACTGGGGTCATTACTAGTAAGGACCCTGCTGTTCTCACTGTTTCAGCTCCTGTGTCTAGGGAAGAAAAATATAGGCAATGATTATAGCATGTTACAGTTTTCCACAACTGTATAGTCAAACGTTGTGGAAACATGACCATCACACCTATCTGAATTGGTAAAAACCCAACACCATGGGCATTGATAAGGAGTTGTCCCTACGCCCTTTGTAGGTATACCAAGTTTTCCACTAGAGTTTTGAAGCATTTCTATTGAAAGTTGTGCCCATTTAGCCAAAAGAGCATTTTTGAGGTCAGGTACGAATGTTGGATGAAAAGACCTGGCTAGCAGTCTGTGTCATAGTTCATTCCAAAGGTGTTCAGTGCTGTTGAGGTCAGGGCTCTGTTCAGGACACTTGAGTTCCTCCACACCAAACTCATCAAACCATGTCTTTATGAAACTTGAGTTCTTCCACACCAAACTGGTTAAACCATGTCTTTGTGAACTTGGGTTCCTCCACACCAAACCTGTCAAACCATGTCTTTGTGAACTTGGGTTCCTCCACACCAAACCTGTCAAACCATGTCTTTGTGAACTTGGGTTCCTCCACACCAAACCTGTCAAACCATGTCTTTGTGAACTTGGATTTCTCCACACTAAACTGGTCAAACCATGTCTTTATGGAACTTATGGTCCTACATACTAGACTGGACAAACTATGTCTTTATGGAACTTGAGTTCCTCCACACCAGCCTGATCAAACCGTGTATTTATAGAACTTGAGTTTCTCCACACCAAACTGGTCAAACCACATCTTTATGGAATTTGAGTTCCTCCACACCAAACCGAACAAAGAATGTCTTTATAGAACTTCAGTTCCTTCATGCCAAACTGGTCACACCATATCTTTATGGAACCTGAGTTCCTCCACATCCGTCTGGTCAAATTATATCTTTATAGCACTTGAGTTCCTCCACACACGACTGGTCAATCCATGTCTTTGTGGAACTTGTGTTCTTCCACACCAAACTCATCAAAACATGTCTTTAAAGTCTTGGGGAACAGTCATGGCAGGACAGAAAATGACTTTCCCTAAACTGTTACCACAACATCAAAAGTGTACAATTGTCTGAAAGGTACAGTATGTATGATGTAGCCCTTAACAGAGACCTTCACAGGAAACACCTGAACGCAATAGTTTGGAAGAATTCCACATACTTTTGGTTATATAGTATTGAGCAGGGGTCCTCAAACTTTTTCAACAGGGGGCCAGTCCACCGTTGGAGGGCCGGAATATAGTTTCTAAAAAAAAAAAAATTTTTAAAAATGCGTACACAGTACAGGAGATGACCAGAGACTGCGGACATACAACGGCGGCGGGAATATTGGGCCGGCCGCTCCATAAGACGCTGTCAGGGCTCCGAGTATGACCAGAGGTGTGTGGACTGACACAGGGAAACGCAGGCTTCAGATATAGTATAAACAATATAATTTATTTAAGACTAAACAATACATAAATGCAGTGCAAGGCTAAACATAACACAGTGCAAACAAACCAAACCAAACCCCCAACAGATAACAAAAGAACAACACTAAGCGTAGTCGGGCAGGCCGAGTAGGTAGCAAACGGGCAGGCAAGGTACAAAGGAGCAGACTGGAGAGTGGTCAGGAACAGCAGAGGTCAGGAACAGCAGAGGTCAGGAGAGGCGGAGTTCAATCAGAGTCAGGGATCAAGCAGGATAAGACAGGAAGCCGACAGGATGCAGGTACAGGGGCTCTTGGGAAAACACTACACCAAGGCCCTGATTGCAAGTCTGGCCATTCCTTATATGCACCTCCTTCAATCAGCCTCAGGTGTTTTGGCTGACTGCAGGAGTGAGCCTCTGGTTGCTGAGAGCACCCGCTGGCCAGTCCTGGTACTGCAACCCACAAGGCAGGTGAGTCTTACCACTATTGGCGAGTCCATTCCTGACAGACGCACAGACATTTCCCCCCAAGTGTGTGTTATGGAGCAAAATAGTGCTCCATCATTGGTGTCAGTGGGAGGAATAGTGCTCCATCATTAGTGTCAGTTGGAAGAATCGTGCGCCATCATTAGTGTCAGATGGAAGAATCGTGCCCCATCATTAGTGTCAGTGGGAAGAAACGTGCCCCATCATTAGTGTCAGTGGGAAGAAACGTGCCCCATCATTGGTGTCAGTGGGAGGAATAGTGCCCCATCATTGGTTTCAGTGGGAGGAATAGTGCCCCATCATTGGTGTCAGTGGGAGGAATAGTGCCCCATCATTGGTATCAGTGGGAGGAATAGTGCCCCATCATTGGTGTCAGTGGGAAGAATCGTGCCCCATCATTGGTGTCAGTGGGAAGAATAGTGCCCCATCATTCGTGTCAGTGGGAGGAATAGTGCCCTATCATTAGTGTCAGTGGGGGGAGGAATAGTGCCCCATTGTTGGTGTCAGTGGGGGGAGGAATAATGCCCCATCGTTGGTGTCAGTGTGGGGGGGGAATAGTGCCCCGTCAGTGGGGGAAGGGGATAGTGTCCCAACATTGGTGTCAGTGGGAGGAATAGTGTCCCATCATTGGTGTCAGTGGGAAGAATAGTGCCCCATCTTTGGTGTCAGTGGGAGGAATAGTGCCCCATCATTGGTATCAGTGGGAGAAATAGTGCCCCATCATTGGTGTCAGTGGGAGGAATAGTGCCTCATCATTGGTATCAGTGGGAGGAATAGTGCCCCATCATTGGTATCAGGGGGAGGAATAGTGCCCCATCATTGGTATCAGTGGGAGGAATAGTGCCCCATCATTGGTATCAGTGGGAGGAATAGTGCCCCATCATTGGTATCAGTGGGAGGAATAGTGCCCCATCATTGGTATCAGTGGGAGGAATAGTGCCCCATCATTGGTATCAGTGGGAGGAATAGTGTCCCATCATTGGTGTCAGTGGGAAGAATAGTGCCCCATCTTTGGTGTCAGTGGGAGGAATAGTGCCCCATCATTGGTATCAGTGGGAGGAATAGTGCCCCATCATTGGTGTCAGTGGGAGGAATGGTACGTCATTAGTGTCAGTGGGGGGAATAGTGCCCCGTCATTGGTGTCAGTGGGGGGGATAGTGTCCCATCTTTGGTGTCAGTGGGAGGAATAGTACGTCATTGGTGTCAGTGGGGGGGGAATAGTGCCCGTCATTGGTGTCAGTGGGAAGAATAGTGCCCCATCTTTGGTGTCAGTGGGAGGAATAGTACGTCATTTGTGTCACTGGGGGGGAATAGTACCCCATCATTGGTGTCAGTGGGGAAAGGAATAGTGTTCCATCGTTGGTATCAGTGGGGGGGAAGGAATAGTGCCCCATCGTTGGTGTCAGTGGGGGGGAGGAATAGTGCCCCATCATTGGTGTCAGTGGGGGAATAGTGCCCCATCATTGGTGTCAGTGGGAGGAATAATGCCCCATCATTAGTATCAGTGACACTAATGATGGGGCACTATTCCTCCCACTGACACCAATGACACTTAACTTGCTGACCCCTGTTCCAGCACGGTGCTGCTGCAGCCAGCATACCTGGTTGCAGCAGCACCATCAGCACGGCACACTTACCTGTCAGCTGTCCTTCTTCACTCCAGCCTCTCCCTCACTCGATGTTCGCGGGGCCGCTCGGCTCCGCCTTCTCGCAGGTGATTGGCCGCCTGTGTGCCTTTCCTGAGCTACAGTTCTGGCGCCCAATCACCGGTGAGGAGGCGGAGCTGATTGGCAGGAGTGAGGGAGTGGCAGGAGTGAATGAAGGAGCAGCGCTTCCTGGACTGGATCGTCGTGGGACTGGGACCGGAGCCAGGTAAGGTATAGCAGCCCCCTGCCCACCTCTGTACTTAGTGTCCCTTCCTCGTGGAAAATACGCGGGCCGCATGTGGCCCGCGGGCCATAGTTTGAGGACCTCTGGTATAGAGGCTTGCTTACTTGTCCAGGTCAATGAGTTCCTCGGTATGTCAGCAGCAGTACATAACAACATCCTTTCTGTAATGTCATGAGACTTTTCGATGTTTATTGTCTCAGTGGGATGTGTATGTCTGCTCTTTATTCAAGACCAGGGAACTTGAACTTCATAGATCATTATCAACAAAACTGAATGAATCCAACTCATTACAACCCGGGATAAGTTTACAATAACTGCTCCCATAAAGATATAACAGGACTCCCCAAGACAATGCATGGAAGTAACAGTGATGAGACGACAGGAAGGTGAGGGGTGTGGGGGCCCATTCCTCCATCATTCTGTCATTGTCTAAGCCCATCTGCTGCTTTCACAAGGCATTCAAGATTCCCTCTGTTATGTGTTTTCTGTTTTACTATATTAAAACAGCTGTGTCTGAGGAAGGCCTACGTGAACATTCCATTTGCTGTGTTTCACTAAATAGATTTCCTCTTGTTCAAGTAAATGAAATGTAACTTAAATCTGCAAAGCACGTACCGGTAAGTGCCAATACAGAGATCCCGCCAACCATCACTGAAATTCTCTTTTAGTTACTTGTCCTGGAAGTCTCAAGAATTAAAAAAAATAGACATTATTTTACTTGATTTCAAATGTAATCATGTAAATACAATTCTAAATATATATGGGGTTATTCAACTATTTTTTTATCCACTGTGCTACATTATATATATAAAATGTAGCACAGTGGATAAAAAAATATATATTCCAAATAAAAAAATTCACATATTTATAGTGACCAAAAAAGGCAGTCCAGCTTTCCTTAAATTAAAAGGATAAACCACAAGCCAGTTCACAACAAATGGAAAAAGAAGCTCTGAACATAATGACGTCACAAATGCCCCCCTACGCATTTCATCATTGGATTTCATCAGGGGCTGATCATAGATCTGCTAACTTAAGACATGCCATCATATGTACAATACAGCTTACATGTGTCAGAAAATATCCAACCAGTCATGCAATGAACCAGGGGCTTACTCGCAACTAGAGGGAGACCACAGGAGAAATGAAAGGGGTCCCGGGATGCTGATTCTATATATATATACTGTACATACATACACACACTGTATATACAGTCAGGTCCATAAATATTGGGACATCGACACAATTCTAACATTTTTGGCTCTATACACCACAGACTGTCAGCTTTAATTTGAGGATATTTACATCTAAATTAGGTGAACGGTGTAGGAATTACAACAGTTTGCATATGTGCCTCCTACTTGTTAAGGGACCAAAAGTAATGGGACAATTGGCTTCTCAGCTGTTCCATGGCCAGGTGTGTGTTATTCCCTCATTATCCCAATTACAATGAGCAGATAAAAGGTCCAGAGTTCATTTCAAATGTGCTATTTGCATTTGGAATCTGTTGCTGTCAACTCTCAAGATGAGATCCAAAGAGCTGTCACTATCAGTGAAGCAAGCCATCATCAGGCTGAAAAAAAAAAACAAACCCATCAGAGAGATAGCAAAAACATTAGGAGTGGCCAAAACAACTGTTTGGAACATTCTTAAAAAGAAGGAACGCACGGTGAGCTCAGCAAGACCAAAAGACCCGGAAGACCACGGAAAACAACTATGGTGGATGACCGAAGAATTCTTTCCCTTGTGAAGAAAACACCCTTCACAACAGTTGGCCAGATCAAGAACACTCTCCAGGAGGTAGGTGTATGTGTGTCAAAGTCAACAATCAAGAGAAGACTTCACCAGAGTGAATACAGAGGGTTCACCACAAGATGGAAACCATTGGTGAGCCTCAAAAACAGGAAGGCCAGATTAGAGTTTGCCAAACGACATGTAAAAAAGCCTTCACAGTTCTGGAACAACATCCTATGGACAGATGAGACCAAGATCAACTTGTACCAGAGTGATGGGAAGAGAAGAGTATGGAGAAGGAAAGGAACTGCTCATGATCCTAAGCATACCACCTCATCAGTGAAGCATGGTGGTGGTAGTGTCATGGCGTGGGCATGTATGGCTGCCAATGGAACTGCTTCTCTTGTATTTATTGATGATGTGACTGCTGACAGAAGCAGCCGGATGAATTCTGAAGTGTTTCGGGAATATTATCTGCTCATATTCAGCCAAATGCTTCAGAACTCATTGGACGCTTCACAGTGCAGATGGACAATGACCCAAAGCAGACTGCAAAAGCAACCAAAGAGTTTTTTAAGGGAAAGAAGTGGAATGTTCTGCAATGGCCAAGTCCATCACCTGACCTGAATCCGATTTGAGCATTTCACTTGCTGAAGACAAAACTGAAGGGAAAATGCCCCAAGAACAAGCAGGAACTGAAGACAGTTGCAGTAGAGGCCTGGCAGAGCATCACCAGGGATGAAACCCAGCGTCTGGTGATGTCTATGCGTCCCAGACTTCAGGCTGTAATTGACTGCAAAGGATTTGCAACCAAGTATTAAAAAGTGAAAGTTTGATTTATGATTATTATTCTGTCCCATTACTTTTGGTCCCTTAACAAGTGGGAAGCACATATGCAAACTGTTGTAATTCCTACACCGTTCACCTGATTTGGATGTGAATACCCTCAAATTAAAGCTGACAGTCTGCAGTTAAAGCACATCTTGCTTGTTTCATTTCAAATCCATTGTGGTGGTGTATTTATGGACCTGACTGTATGCGTTTAATCAAAGATTACACTTTATTAGATAATAGGAAGTGACCTTCATGCCAGAATCATGCTGGGCATCATCCAACTAGAAAGATGACCAAATGCGTTGTATGGAACGGTCTATGGGGGAGAGGGCAAGGAAAATGTGAAATTTGCTGCCACAGTTGCTTTTTTAAATAAAAAAAAATCCTCTTGGGCAATGACAATTTCAATGTTCTCTGAAAGTAGCAGTTGAGCTGTAACTCTGGAAACCTTACATGAAAATGAAACAGGAATTTTCAAGTGTAATGTTTATTTTGTAAAATAGTTACATACAAGAAAAAAAAAATCAATTTTATAATACAATATATACATTCAAGTTTTTTCACATTATCCAAACTGAATTTCAGGGAGATAAAAGAGACTTAAAAAATAATGCAACTCTGAATTAATGTCACACTGCAATGCAACATGTATGCTCAGCATTTATATATCTTGTTCTGTTGATTTCTTCTAGTTGACTACTTTTTTTTCCTTGCTAATGCTGTCCACAGTAGCACCCCTCCCGTTTGACTATCATATCTGGAGTAAAACTTTAAACCCATAAAAAAAAAACATTGCCTCGATTTAATGGTGAATATGCCCTTTTTAACTGTTATTTAAATAAAATAAGGAATCGTGTCAGCTGCTGAGCAAGAAGTAGGATATTTCACCAGACATTTTATGATTAAGGACAACTTCTTCTTTTAGAAATCTGCAGGAGACAAAAAACAGAAGAGAAATTGTAACTAAATTCTAATTTTATCTGGAAAACCCAACATTTCTCTATTTCAACATCCCCTCTCGTAATGCCACAATCACTGTATAGGTCATCAAATCCAGTCACTTTAGAATAAAACGTAGTAATCTCAAAATTATATATATATATATATATATATATATATATATATATATATATATACACAGTATACATATACATATACAGTGGGGATCGAAAGTTTGGGCACCCCAGCTAAAAATTTGTATTAATGTGCATAAAGAAACCAAGGAAAGATGGAAAAATCTCCAAAAGGCATCAAATTACAGATTAGACATTCTTATAATATGTCAAC